CCCGTATTTCAGCAAACCACCACTTTTGCGAAAACATGTTTTGTATCCTAAGGCAAACCACATCGAGCATATGCATATGTTAATTGCTCAGCAAAACATTTTAATTTGGTTTTTTTAGATAACTACACGAAGCGCATAACTTTGTTATGGGCCTAAGTTCTAACAGCTATGCAGACAGTCACACAGAGACGATCTGCACCCTTTGATGGATTGTTCGCAAACATTAGGCCGCATGGAACCCATATTTCTGGATTATGGGCTGTTTACAGTCCACTTACATGGGTTAACCTCAGTGACATCCAACGAACTATCACGTCAGTTATTGCTTTACTTGAAAATGACATCTGCTGCACCAGAAACGGAGGGGAATCGGTCAAAAGTTAATGCGGTCTTTCAATACTGGCATATTTATTCTACAGCACAACTGGTACTGGATTTAGCTAAATAATTGAAACCCCTGTTGCCTTTATTAGGAAAGGTTCCCGCGTGGACATAATGTCGGTTATTTCGTCAAAGCTTACTACACATTATGAAGACATTTTGTGCGAATTACGAGCTGCAACGTAAAATGCTGTTTTATTCAAGTCACCACAAGACGACTAGGGCCCGTTGACAATTAAATGAAACCAAGAAACGCATGGCAGGACTGCATAGGCAGTAGGCATTAAAACACTACTTAATTATATCACCAGACTGTGTTTGCAGGACCCGAACTCAAATCAGTGGACTGTGAAAGGTCGTGCACCCACTACACCTGCTTGTTATGGACTTAAGCAGTAGGTGGATGTGTGAGTCGAAACTGTTGCCACATATTTATATCTCTATGCTCGGAAACAGCTCCAATTATTGATACGTAGTCACTTCGAAGCACACCTCGATACGGTGTTGGCTGCCGCATTGGCTGATTTAATGCCAACGAGCCAGCCATGGCCTCCTAATCAGGCAATCGTTGCTACGTCGAAATTGACACCTCCCCGCATGTAATAAGTACCTCTTCGGGATGATAATAACCAGATGACCTTCAAAGTCCATTGTTATGCTTATGCCAAGCATTATCCCTACTTGCGCAGCATAAAACCTGTTCTCTGGTACGTAGCAGATAAAGTTAGGCAATTTAGCAGGGTACCCCTTGTTTTAAACCGAGTGAGTAGAGTTTATAAATACTTAGCGTACACCATTGTAAGAATATTTTGACGTCCTCTAACGTAAGACTTCAAAAGCAGTCCGAACGGACATTTTTTAAATATTGCAACCGCAAGTGTGTAGTGTCGTCCTCTCGCATTTTCAAATAATCCTTATAAGAGTTACCTTTGCTTGCGGTGATACATCAGTTGCATATTTGTTGACACAAGTTCACTATGTGCCACTGAGCACTTTCCAACTTTTTTGAATCATATCGCCTACCGTTAGTATATTAATATCTGAGAACGCGAGCGAAGCATGTACATTAAGTAGACTATTCCAAACTGTTTACTCGTATGCCCTGCGTCAAACTGAGAAGATCAAAACAGTTTACTCACAATTCTCATAATACCAATCACACGTTGCAGCAGTCACGAAACCTAAGTATGCTTATCCCCTTTTTACGCATTTCCAAGAAACGAATAAACTTTGCCAATTTCAAGGATATTGTGAAATAAGGTAAATCATGAACTTGGTTATGACTTACAATGTTAGAAAAGAAGTTGATTTCGAAGTTCAAATGAACAAAACGGGAATATTTTGTATTAAGTTTCTGAAGATAATAACTATCTCCCTAAAATGCTTGTGGCCTTGAAAAAATGTGTTTAACTATTTAAACATAAGCATATAAGTACATGACGTCACGTTTTGTCATTTGCAACATAAGGCAGGATAGTAATTTCACTGAATACATGCTGGTACGCAATGCGAAGATGGGGCAATATTCTACAGTAAATCGCTTCGGAGGGCATAACATTTCTTACTAGAGAATTCTTATCTTTTATTGGGGGTTGCAGTGCAGTGATTTTCGTCTTCCGTGAAAACTGAAAAAATTTTTTTTTGCCAATTTAAAGTTTGGATACTGAATATTACTTATTCCGACGAGATTCGATCCCAAGACTTTGGTATTCCATTTTGAAGCCTTGAATGTAATTCGCTACTGAGCTCGTTTCATTTGAAATTGGTCATATCCTCCCTTTTAATGGAAACAATGCGATGAGGTTTTGCAAGATATATTCAAATAATGCAGTATTAACGAACAAACTAAATTTAAATGCTGAACGGCCATCAAAATATGGCATATTTACCTGATTCAAGGTAAGCGTAACGTTACGCCACATCACCTTATATGACAACTCATCAAATCGGCTTCGTTTTGACGTCCGAAGTGATTTAAAATCATAGACGGACACATGCCCATGAAGACTAATTGTGTAAGTAATGTTGCCGAATTCATATTTGTTTTCCGTAAGCGGGAGTGACGTAACTTTTCTCATGAGATGTGCGGCAATGGTTTCCACTCGCAGTCGACCTTTATAGCGCGGCACTCCTCGTAGCCTAAAATACGGTGCATGCGTTAGTGAGAGGCATTTCAACCGGTTATAAACAGATGAAAATATGCATGTCCAGCTAAAGTTAAGTGAGCCGAATCTCCAAAGTCACGTTGCACCCGAGTTAATGTTTTCCCAATGAAAGTGCAATCACTTTTAATTAATAACATAGTAAAGCAGAGTCATATGGGTCTTTAACATAAAAACTTTTTTTAGAAAGACCAGCAGTTGGATTAAAGCATGTCAGAATGATAATAGCGAAACTATTGTGCGGTGACATATATGCATGCTTTGCTATATGGGAGGCCGGAATAAAATAGAAGCGATAGACTTCCAAAAATAGTCTCTAATCTCAACGACGTTATATCAATTGGTTATAAAATGCCAGATTATTATTGACTGCATACATGCATGCCTCGCTGTATGGGACGCCGGAATAAAATAAAAGCGATAGATTTCCAAAAATAGTCTCTAATCTCAACAACGGTTTATCAATTGGTTATAAAATGCCAGATTATTATTGTAAGTTCATTTCAATCCTATTATAGCCTGAACGGATTGTTTTTTTGTTAAAGTTGGATGTGAATATATGAAAATTTTCCTTCAAAAAAGTATTAGACAACACATCTTGGCGTTTCAAGCATTTAAATTTACCTTTAACAACAAAGCGATATGCTAAATCATGCAGGTATACAAAACACAAAACCTAACCCAGTTTTTAAATAAAGCACGTTAGTTGGCTCAATGGTTTTAATTTTATGGTTACAAGAAAATAAGTCTCCCACAATTGTAACATTTGAGGACATGCATGATCCAATATTTGTCATTTTAAATTCCCAGCGTTATTAAACACTTCAGTAAGAATTTGCATTCAGTTGACTTACGGGACACTGAATAACAGGCTAAATTTCCGTTAACAGAGGTCAACAGCGGCAATAAAACAGCGAAAGACATTTCGTAATTAGCGAAATGTCAAATACTGTTAACATGATTTATCACCATTATAAACGCCTATGGCCAATCAAAAAATAAACCCAACTAAGGACATTTCCCGATATATGCCGAACAGATCTTTCAATTTATTTATGCACGGTTTGCAATGAACCGCAGAAAAGACTTCCAAAATGCCATAAAATGTATACTTGAGAGATCGTAGACCATCCTCAATGAAAAGTTCTAAAGATATAAAATATGTCTGATAGGTGTTGGACCATCGGACTGTCGATAGTAGTTTAATTTTGATAGGACGTTCTATTCTCCCATTTCAGCATTGTAAAGTGCACAGGGCACATACCTGTGACGAAATTTAGGAAAAAGCGGAAGTTCAAACAGCTTTTGATGTTCAATCCAACGGGCAGTGAAGGATGGGCAGGACAGCGTAGAAAAGTCCCTGAAGTCGCATGTGTGAAAAAAAAACAGTTGAGCTCCTTCGAATGGGCGAAAGCACACGGTCGTCAAACTATTAGCGAAGGGATTCTGCATATAACAACATTTCATAGCGGCTGTAAAAAGAAATTTAAATTGCGTAGGCTTTCGCTTCATATATTTGTTAATCAGTTGGATGATTCATCGGACGCCTGAGAGAGGGGATGAATGCTGTTGAAGAGTAGTATTTGTCGTGTGTTGGTGGCTTTTCTGAAAATGATAGTTTTTAATAACCCACTTGCTTATCGACGCACAAGGATATCGAGGAAGGGAAGTTAGTTGTTTGTTTTGGCCTCCATCGTGAATTAGATATATTCGGGTCAGCCGAGTTCAGTGATCCTTTAAGGTGCTCCACGTCAGATGATTTGACAATGACAAACGTTTCATCGACGTAACGAGCTCAGGACTTTCGTCGATACTTGGTGAACACCAAGTGTTCTATCAGTTGAAGGATTTTTTCAGCACTCAGCCCTGATATAGTGGAGTCAATGGGGATGCCTTTGATTTATTCATACATTTCTCCACCAAAGGTGAAATATGTTTTATGCAATGGCGTAAGAGCTCCATGAGAAGTTCGGTCTTCCGGGGATTGTTTCTCTTGTTGTAGCGATCAGCCAGGATTTGTCGCCCAACGTCAATCACCAGATGATGTGGAATGGAGGAGAATAGTGAAACGACATCAAAAGATATCATGGATTTATCTGGCTCTTGTTTCACATGTTTTAAACGTTCAAGGAACTGATTTGCAGAAGCCCATGTTGTTGACGTACATTAATCTACGAATTTAAGACGGGCAAAAATCTATATTGCCAAACCCTATGTAGGAGTGTTAAGTAGGGAATCCATAGGCCTAAGCGGTATGTTCACTTTGTGTACCTTCGGCAGACCGTAAAACCGTGCGGTGGCAGAGTCAGAGGGTTTCATAAAAAACCAATCTCAAACTGTGATTCCCCCAGTAGACCAAGGCAGCGAAAGAATAATAAAAAATCGATCAGCCAAAGGCCAAATTCTTTGGCTGTCTATTCAAAAATCTGATCGAGTTTTACAATAGTCGCTTTGATAATGGAGAGATGCTCAAGTTCTTCGAAACGTCAGTCAAACAATTCCCTTGATCCGGTGAATGCTGTCTCAGAGGCATTCGCAGTGACCAATGGAGTGAAGCAGGGTTGCGTACTGGCGCCTACCCTCTTCACTCTCATGTTCTCTGCCATGCTGATGGACGCCTACCGCGACGAACGCCCCGGGATCCGCATCGCCTACAGGACGGACGATCACCTCCTGAATCAACGACGGATGCACTTCAAATCGCGCGTATCCACAACCACCGTGCACGAACTCCTCTTCGCCGACGACTGCGCCCTGAACACCACCTCGGAAGAGGAGATGCAACGGAGCATGGGCCTGTTCTCCGCCGCCTGCGAGAACTTCGGTCTGGTCATCAACACACAGAAGACGGTGGTGATACACCAACAGCCACCCAACTCGGCCGCAACCCCCAACGCGCCGCCGCAAATCAGCGTGAATGGGACCCAACTGCAAGTGGTGGAGAACTTCCCGTACCTGGGCAGTACTCTCTCCCGCAACACCAAGATCGACGACGAAGTCGCCAACAGGATCTCGAAAGCCAGTCAAGCCTTCGGTCGCCTCCAAAGCACAGTTTTGAATCGCCATGGTCTTCAGCTGAGCACGAAGCTGAAGATGTACAAGGCCCTCATCCTGCCGACGCTAGTGTATGGAGCGGAGACTTGGACGGTGTACGCAAAGCAGGCACGTCGTCTGAACCACTTCCACCTCAGTTGTCTTCGTCGCATCCGGAGGCTGAACTGGCAGGATCGAATCCCCGACACTGATGTGCTGGAACGGACGGGATTCCTCAGCATCTAAGCCATACTGAGGCAAATGCAGCTGCGCTGGAGTGGCCACCTGGTGCGCATGGACGACGAGCGACTACCCAAACGACTCTTCTACGGAGACGTCGCGACGGGTTCTCGTCGTCAAGGAGGCCAGATTCGCCGTTACAAGGATACCCTGAAGTCTTCCCTGAAATGCCTACAAATCATTCCTACCAAATGGGAGGAGCTCGCACTCGATCGACCGACCTGGAGGAGGACAGTGAAGACAGGCGCTGCGATCTACAAAGCCAACCGCATCGCTGCCGCCAAAGCGAAACGTGAAGCCCGCAAATCACAAATTCGCCCAGTAAGCAACGCAGCCGCACAACCGCTTCCTACGAGTCCTCGATGTCAACGGACATTCCGGGCTCGAATCGGACTTGTTGGACATATTCGGATTAACTGCGCCTCTCGAACGGCACCAACCATCGTCCCCCCGCCTGCCTCTTCCTCCTCCTCTCCGCTGCCAACTAACCCTGACAATTCTTCTGACCCACCAATTCCATCATCCTCCTCCTCCTCCTCCTCGCCCACTGCTCCAACAGCGGCTGCTCAGGCGACTGTCCCACGCACAACAACCGACACTACCACCACCTCCCCCGACTCCAGGGATGAGGATCAGGACTACACCTGCCCTCACTGCGACCGTACCTTCACCTCACACATCGGCCTGGTCGGTCACTTGCGAATCCATCGCACAGAGCCTGGCGAACCAGTGCGTGAAGCACCAACCTACACCCACCGCACTCGCCTCCACTGCCCACACTGCCCTCGTACCTTCAGGCATCGCATGGGCCTTTTCGGCCACATGCGCATCCACGAGAGCGGCCTTGACCGCACTCCCGACACACCCACCACATCCAGCACATCCACCGTGCACACCTCCACCCTCGTTCCATCCGTCCGCGCCACCACCACCGCCTCCCCTGTAGCTGACACTGACACCGCCGACTTCTCATGCCCACACTGTCCACGCACATTCACCTCACGCATCGGCCTAATCGGTCACTTGCCAATCCATCGCACAGAGACTGACGCGCTTGAAGCTATCACGGTGCGCTTAACGCCGTGGCTTGGAAGGTTGCCAACTGACGGGGTAACTTGGACCTCCTCCTTGACCGGAGGCGGTCTGAGAGTCAGGCTGCAATGGCTCTTTTTTAATGTGGCCTTTATGGCACTCCCATCACAGTGTGGGATCCGAGCCAGGCGTTGGCGGCACGCCCAGGTGCGGCTTCGGTCGTGCCAGCCTCCAAATCTCTCTTGTGTTGGTTGAAATCCTGGTTATTTGTTGTTTGGGCCAGGGGGTGTGGTGGAACGCCAAGGTGAGGATCCGTCGGAGCCATCCACCTCCGGCCTCTCTCGTCTCCGGTCTTCTTGACACTGTCTTGACACCGGGCTCGGGCGAGGGAGGAGGAGAGAGTGTAGGTAGATGCTACGCAAGTCTACCGGCACTATAAACCCCTGCGTAAGTCACCGTCCCTCTCCCATTGCTGGTGCAACTGTGGGGCACACGGTGGACATCATCGAAACCGATGGTCGAACTGTCACTCATTTGCTTAAATCATGTCACTGGTTTTATGCTGAAATGCAAGGTAGTGACAAGGTTAGCCAAACAAATAATAACAATTACGTATTTCAACTTTGCTGCTTAGCTTGCTACTCAGATATATATCACAAAACAAAGAACTACTATTATAAACTAATAGTTTTTAAATTTACCAGTTACCAGCAAAGCTTCCCCAGTCTTATAACTGCGTATCACATACTAAAAAGCACGTTTATATTATTAAGATAAGTGAATTCGAGTGTTATTTTCGACTGTGCGCATTCGCTATCATGATATGTTATAAATGATTTAGCTACCTGTCTACAAAATGCACTGTCTGGAATATACGCCCAATTCTGCCCTCTGGCAACAACATACTCGGTGTGTGGCCCATCGCTTGGTTATGTGCGTATAAATTAAGAAACGTGCAGCTAGCCCTCAGTTACCTAAGAAATGTCATGCAGAGAAGTCATCTTACAGTTGACGATCTTCATGCTGATGCATGCAGTCAGTGCCAGCACAAATATCCTATGTAAGTAACGCTTTCCCAACTTCGCTAACGCTTATTTCCTTTCGTTGCCTCTTTTGTTAATACGCCTTCAAGTGATTCACACCACATATAAACAAATGCCTGTTAAAAGTACTGGGCAGGAGACACCACCACCAACACTGATTAGAAAACCGGTAAATGGGTCTGTGCGTCCCTGCATAAGCACTGATAAACTATCCTTGCTGGTTGGTTTTTAGAATCCCCTGTTGCTTGAATCCGTGAACCTGCAAGTATGTCTGCAGCGGACAAAAGAGGGACTCTCACAATTAACATTCAGCAGCCAATTTGTTCAAAGTGAATGCTGTCCTATCGGTTTTGCCTATGATGCCTTGTCGTACTGACTCATTTGCGTTATGTTATAATACGGAAATGGTGGGCAAAAGCCTCTGTGCTTCCGAATGGCTATAAAAATTTCGAAGAAGGCACATCTATGCAGGAAAGACATCGCAAAGAAGTTATTTACATAACTGCGTGACACAACCCCGTAGGAGTATACAAACATGGTGATTTAAACACTACCTACTTAGTTATCATAAGTAGAACGAGCGTATCATTGGTCTTTTGGAAGTGTGTAGCTGTTCATTTGACGTAGAAGTGAAAACTAAGCGCGTGGAGTCCACAATTGGGGACATAACAGCACCAGCAGACGGGGCATTCCCTACTGAAACCGCTCTGTCACTGAAATAAAATATGCGTCTATCAATCCTGGCATTCCCTGGGCGTAGTTTCAATAGATGGCCGCGGAAGATGAGCGTGTAAGCAGGAGTTAAATAATCGTTAGGGGCAAAGCAACAACGCAGGCTATACATAATGCGGAAAAAAGCATAGAACCCCCTCGTACCAGCCTGTATGAACGTGGATTGATGTGACGGACGGTTGTCTGTTTACCGAAGACGATGTCCCATACAGCGGACTATTGTTATCTTCTTCTTGTGGACTTTCCCTGAGACGGTACCGAATTCGACCGTGGACGCTTCAGATGTGACGTGCGTATCCTACGGTTGACTAATGGAAAATCCGTGTCTAGACATGCTAAACAGAAATTATAACAGAGTGGAGTATGCGTGATACAGGTAGCTCAAATAATACATCCGGACCGTAGTTACAGTGCGTGACCGATCTCATGAAATGCTAGCCAAAACTCTGGAATGCGTTTCCGATGAGTAAAAATTATTTAAGTAGGGTTGTTTTATTGATTATTATGCAGTATATTCCCATAAACTTTCGGACTTCTCAGGATGTTGGCTTTTGAATGCATTTCCCTTTGACCTCCTGCAAAAGCCACACACGGTATAAAATGACTGCTTATGTAGCATGCATTTTTCCTACTGATTTTCGACGGTCTTATAAATTTCCATATATTTTGAAGAAAACATGCATAAAAATATGCGTTTGTTTGCTCATTTGGAAGGACATCACGTTGTCTTTATATTTTATGCCCGAAAAAGAGTGTGTCTCGAATTTAAAAGAGGTTCTTATTAAGAGATTTTTAAGACCGTGCGATGTCCATGCATGCATGACCGCACATGTACGTTTACTAATGTTCCTAATGAAATGTACAACACAGTCCGGATCCATTACACAATTTTATGAACTCTATGTAGTATCTTCTTAAAGACATAGCGGAATATATGATTCTCTTTACGCGGAAAGCGTGCAACTGGTAGACTGAACTTGCTATACGCTGATGCAATAGCAGATCAGGCCGAAAAGTATTCGGGAATCAGGACACTATTTAAAAACCTAAATGGACATTTATTTCGGGCATAAAATATAAGAAAAATGTGATTTCCTTCCAAATGAGCAAAAGAAAGCATATTTTGGGCATGTTTTCTCTAAAATACATTTGAATATATGAGGCCAGGAGGTAAAAGGGAAACGCATTCAAAAGCCAACATCCTGATGAGTCCGAAATGTTATAGGGTTATGTTGCATGATAATCAGTATAACAACCCAACTTAAGTTATCCTTCGTAATCGGAAACGCATTCCAGAATTTCGGCCAGCATTTCATGAGATACGTCACGCACTGTAGTTCAAAAATGCGCAGAAAAAACGCATCAGAATTTGGTCCTTTGAATTTGGATAAAAACGGCAATTATTCGTGCGGCGAACTCCGGCCCGAACTGCACTAAATGCCACCCCTTACATTTCATAATGATTTAAACCACATGTGCATGACATTGTACAGTCAATGTCACGGTGCTGATTGGCCACTCTATAACCTTTGACGTTTGGCCGCGTCGTGTACGCCATAACACTTGTGCTGCCAGCTGTGATAACTTCTGTCCTGCCTGCAATTGAACCTCTAGTTTGTGTGTATGAAACGCCAATTAGTCGGTGAAGCAGTCGACCGTCGTTTCGGCGATGTCTACTGTTCACTCCACATCACAGTAACCGCAGGGATGGCGACCTGCGCATGAAATTAGTTTATAGTGGTTTAGACGTGCGCGTAATCTACCGCACTCACCCCTCCTCCTCCGCCACCACGGCCCGGTGTCAAAAAGTAGTCAAGAAGATCGGAGGTGGGTGAGTTGCAGGTGACTGGCACGACCTAAACCCACGCACAGGCTTATTACCACACATTCTGGTCCAAAACGTACACTGAACAGGATTTATTACGACAACAAATAGGGGCATATACTGAAGCAGTTATAACGAAACAAGCGGTCAACGAAAAAAATAATTCGGTGCCACTGTGGCATTTGAGACCAAGACAGCAAGGAGGCGGCTTTAGTACAGCCAACACTCTGGCCACCTGTGCTATTAGGCTCCATCGGGAGACATGTGTCTAATCACATTTGGGTGAATTTACCCACCGAACCTACTGCAGCGTATGGAATTCTTCAAAGTTGATACAGTAAGTTCACTGCCCAAGCAGGATATTGTCAGTAATCCACCTAGAATCCACTAGATGACTACGACGCTCACATTATTTCTATTGACACAACTATATAAAACTCAGTGCCTCTGTGGGATTTGAACCCATGACAACAAGAGGAAGCCTTTTATAAAATCAACACTCGAGTCACCTGGGCTACGAAGCCCTAACAGGAGCCTGGTAAACATATAATGAATTCTAGGTCAATTACTTAGGACATCCTGCTTGGGCATTCAACTTACTGTGTCAGATTTGGTGGATTCCAGACGCTGCAGTAGGTTTGACGGGCAAGTTGACCAAAAAGTCATTAAACTCAGGTCCCATGATGGGACCTCGTAGCTCGGTTGGCAAGAGAGTTGGCTGTTCTAAAGCCTTCCTCTTACTGCGGTGAGTTCGAATCCTATCGGGCCGTTGTGTTTTTTCTCAGTTGTGTCAATGTGACTTATTCACAATCTGCCAAAACACATATAGAGGGTCAAGTCATTGCCAAACTAGTTATTGACGGTGATTAGGGATTCGTTTGCTCTCCCTGCTAACGCCTTTCGATCTTGACAGAAGGCGCTTGTCTCGGGAAATTCCTGTTTGAGCGATCGTGTCGGCTTCTCATCAGACGCATCGCCACGTTATCCTGGGGTATGTGGGGCTCTGTAGGTATAGCAGACTAACTCGAGAACTATGAACATTTACGGAGAATCTGTTTATACCCACAATTACTTATGCGAGATGGCTGTTTGCCTTGTTTGTATCAAAGTCGATTTGCGCTGCCAAAGGTGGGCCATGGCACATTCCATCACGAGCGTACGTGGGATTTTGCAGACAACATCATTTCTATCGAGGCATTCAACGCTGTTTTTAAGGTGTGCGAGCTGTATGCGCAAAGTATTTGCCGATTGGTATGTCAGTTATATCTAGCGTTATTTCAGCAGTTTTCCGACAACCCATAGAGATTCTCAAAGCATGGGTGAGCCCAATGATACGTTTACCCTTAATAATTACATGCGCTAGGATGTCCATTTTTTAATACACATGTGTGCATACGCCGAACGAGTATGTGAGATAACAACTGACCGGATAACGGCTCTATCGCATAGGAGAGATTTTTGGGCCTAAAAACCTTCGATTACAGAAATTCATATTGGAATTCAGAGTCATTCAGACTTGAGTTTGTCTAAGTCCTGTTAGCAAAAGTAAATAGTTTAAAACTGGCCATCTCAGTCATTGTCTGCATAAACATGTATAGTTTAAATGAACTGCATACACTTTAGGAATAGCAGGATCCGTCATAATAATTTTCCCA